CGCATCCGTCACATTCCAAAGTGGTATTGAGACTACCTATTTGTATTACATCACCGAGCTCACGTTAATTCGTAGTGTTTATTAGCTTAGGAGTCTATTGACATTAGGTATTTATCACTAGTATAAAGGTTGTAACATAAACAAGGTCAGATCAAACAATTTCAACACTCAAAATAAATATTGATATTCCCATAAACACAATAACTTATCATAAAAACTTGTTGATACACACCGGAGATTTCTACCTCCCGTTTCGGAACCCGGTTGAAAATCGCTCCCGTAGTTCATGCTCTTGTGCTCCTCGAACCGTCCGAGTATTTTGATCTCACAAAGTTGAGACTCTGTACCACCCGAGATCTCAAGTACCCGTGATCCCGCATGCATGCATGAGGCAAGAATAAAGACTTTCCAATGCTGGCTGTCTCCCTTGGTGTTCTCCGTAGCTTTTTCTAATCTTATCAGTTTAAGTCTCCATACACCTCCTTGTAAGTTCTGCTCTGCCAATAACCTGGGCCTGTAAGGTGGCATTCCCTTTCTCTGCTCATCGATCGCGTATACTCTAATGTAGTCGTCGTAGCTTCCAGTAACAACCACGGAATCGTGCGATGAAACTTGCAGGTTTAGAGGGAGTATAGCAGTTACGCCTGCTTCGTGCCCCTTGAACGCAATTGGCGGGTATGAGGTCTCGACCAAGCTCTCTTCAGTATCAATGCGAGCTGAATAGTAAGTACAATTTGTAGTAAGGAGTTTAGAATCGTCACCTCCCGAAAATACTGCAAACTGCTCAGAGCTTTCCTCTGGAGAACCTGCGGCATCCGAGCTAGGCTTGCTTGGTGTCAACGATGAAAATGCCACTGTCCAAGCTTCAAGGGTGTGAGTTATCACAGGCCCATCACTCGTCTTAGAGACATCCCATGAGTCAGTAACACGCAGGATATGGACTTCGTAGTTGGAGGTTGTAATTGCTAGGAGCTCAGGAATATGTGGATGCCACGAGCATGATAGGAGTAGAACTCCCTCATCATCACTAAGCGGCTTGTGAGTACCGATTTCCTTTAAGGAAGCCGGATATTCTTCTGAAGCGGAAAGTTTGAAGAACGACAGGCTTCCAGTACTGGAAACGACAGCCAGCACAGTAGAGTCTTCTCGACTAGGGTGAAAATGAAGGTCAAGGAGAGCTGAAGGGTAGGGGACAGTTTGTACGTGCTTTCTATCCAATGGTAAATTTGATATTAAAATTGAATAATTGAGATGGACGGGTATATTAGCTTACATATCTACAGTCTCTAACAACTTAAAGAGAACAAGACTTCCATCCCGAGTCTGAGTCTTCTTTACTTGATGTTGTTCTTGGTCATCTCCAGAAGAAACGCCCGTATCTGCATTATCTTCTTTCTGTAAGTTATATGTGCCAACGACAAAATAGTCCGGATGACCTGGACAGAATTCGATACAGCTTGGGGGGAGGTCCAGGGTTAATGATTTCAACGGCATGATGCTGCGTCCGTGCGTATCCATGACGTTGCACTTTTGAGGGGCGTTTCTACCACGTTTATATTCGTCAACGGAGAATATGTCAGCAATTAGTGACATAAGACATATAGATATTAAGCCCCGCGTATGTAGATGTCGAGAGGAAATCTACCCCCTCAATTTTTTGAAGTTGCTTTTTTAGAGGAGATAGTGGAGACTTATACTAAAAGTGGGACACATACACAGCTACAGCATGCATGCTGTTGGATAAATTGATCTATTGAACTAACTAATAAAATAAAACATTATTATTTTTTTTTACAAACACTCAAGATGAATCTGAATGTCTGAATGACACGTGACGAGCAGTCACGTGTTGAGATGTACTAAGGTACATCTCACACATGCCGGTTTTAAACAGCGGCTCGGAATCATACTTGTTATACCGTATCCATTAAGAAACAATTGATTTTAGGGCACGGACCACGTACTATATTTGGTATAACTTAAACTATATACGGCTGTGGCTTTTTTAGTGAATATTACGAAAATTTTACGAAAAAAATTAACTTTTTATAAAAATTATTATAAATAATGTAAAATAATGTAAAATATTTTAATTTATTTATTAAAAATGAAATTAATTTTTATTATTGTTGTTATTATATGTTAAAATAAAAAGCAAAAGTTTATTGTTTAAAATAATTATATATTATTAAAATAAATTTCTCGAATTTATTGTATTTATTTTTATTAACGAAAATTTAAAGTTATTTTATTTTTAAAAAATTATCGTATATTATTAAAAAGTAATAAAATAAAAAAATATATATATTTAAAACGTTTATTAAATGGTATATTTATTATTAAAAAAAGTTTTAAACGATTGTATTTAATTAAAGTTTAAAAGTATTTTTTAATAAAAAATTTACAATTTATATTAAATTGGTGAAATAAAAAATATAAGTTATTTAAAAGTAAAAAGTTTATAACTAAAAAGTATTTATTATAATGGCTTTTATTAAAAAATTAATTATGGGTTTAATTTATAACCGTTTATAAAACTTATAAAATAATTATATAATATTAGTTTTAAAAGAAATTTTAAACGTTATTTTAAAATTTATACTTTTAATACTTTTAAATCTTTATTTTTTTAAACGGTTAATTTATAACTTTTTTTCGAAAATATTAAATTATAAAACGTTAAATTATTTATATAACTTTTAAACCTTTTAATAAAATAATAAAATATATAAATAATTTTTTTTAATATATTTAAAAAGTTTTTTATAAAATAAATTTTATTAATATAATTTTATTTAATAACTTTATTATTAACTTTACTTTTTATCGATTTTTTTTTAAATTAATTTTTAATATAAATAAAACTTTTTTATTATTTAAATTTTTTAAAAAATATATATATAATTTAAAAAAAATTAAATTAATAACTGGAAAAATAAATAAAAATGGTTAAAATAAAAGATAAATTACTTTAATATTATATATTTTTATAAACGGGTTAATGTTTTTACACTTTAAAATTATCTTTTATGGTAAAAGTATTGTTAAAAAAAAAAAATAACGGTTTTATTATTTAAGCGTTATTATTAAATTTAACAATATAACGTATAATAACGAGGTTTTATTTATGTAATAAATTAATAAAAAGTTACTTTTATATATTAATAATAAAAAAACTTTATTAGTTATAAATGTGGTTATATTTTATAAAATTAAAGATTTAAAATTAAAGTTAAAAAATAATGGTATTGTTATAACAATAATTTTATTAAGGTTAATTTTTTATTTTTAACTTTTTAACGTTATTATTAATGGATTTTTTAAAAAAGTTTTTTAAAAAAAAATAAAGTTATATTTAAATAAGTTAAAAATTATTAATAAACTTTTTAAAAAGTGGGTTTTTATAAATAAAAAAATTATAATTATTTATATTATTAAAAAGTTATAAAAATATTTTAAATAATTTTATAATAAAGTTTTAATTAAAGATTTTTTTATTTATATCGGGATAATTATCCACCCGTTTAAAAACGAAAATAATTTAATTTATATTAAAAAAATTAATTTATTTTTATTATACCTTAATAATTGGTTTGTTTTTTACTTAATTAAAGATTTTTAATATAATGTAATATTAAATAAATTAAATAATATCGAAATATTAATTATTATTAAAAAAGTTTTAACATTATTATATAATTTATACCGTTTTTTAAAAAAAGTTATATTAATAAAACTTTATTATTAATGTTAATTTAAAATTAATAAAAATAAAGTTAAATTAATTAAATGTTTAAAAAAATAAAATAAAAAATATTTCTTTTAAAAGATTTTTATAGAGTAAAAAACGGTTATAATTAATTTAAATAAAAATTTAAATGCGTTTAAGGTAATAAATTTAAATTTATTAAAACTTTTTTTTTTTTAAACCTTTAAATTTTTAAAAAATTAAATGGAATTTTAATTTTAAAAAAATATTTTATAATAATTTTTTTAAATTTAATAAATTTTAAAAAATTATTTAATATATTAAATGTTTTAACTTTTAATTTCCATTTTTTATATATTTTATTTATATATAATTTTTATTTATTTTTATAAATTTTTTTTTAATTATTATATATATGTTTAATTATTAATTAAACGCGTTTTTTAACTTATAAATATAATTTAACGTAATAACGCGTTTTTTTTATAACTTAATTATAATGAATTTTTTAAAAGTTATTTATAAATATTTTTAAATTTAAATATAAGGAAAAAGATATACGGTATTATAATATGTATATATTATAAAAGTAAAAATGATTAAATTTTAAAATTAATTTTAAAATGTTTAAAAAAAATTAATTTAAATTAATATATTAATATTTAAATTTTTAATAAATAAAGGATTTTATATAATATATTAATAATTGTTATTAATATAATTAATAAATTATTTTAATTTTATTAAATAAATTATTTAAAATTGTTTTATTAATTTAATTAATTTTTTAAATGGTATTTTATAATTTTAAAGTTACGAAAAAAGTGGATGTTATACGATTAACCTATTTAAACATATATTATTGATTTGCCATTAATTTAATTAGTCTGTGCCCTAGAATCAATTATTTTTTAGTAGATGCGGTATATGTAAACCCTGGAGTATAGCTAGCCAGCCTTATTATTGGACCTGGTCCAATTAGTGCCCGAGCGCCTGGTTCCTTCACTTGCAGACTTGCAGCCATTTCAATGTTCCTCTTATGGAAATACTGTGGTAATAATCGAAGCTGCAAGAACGAGGGGAGTCGGACACTTGGGTTGGCAAGAGCACGTCAATTATTCAACAACCCCCGGTCTCATGGAGCAAGGACTTTTACTTTTAAATCGTCTTCAACTACTTGGCCTTCCAACCTACCCAGATAGATACCTCATGTTTCCAATTTCTAAGCCTGACTCGTATCATTGACAATTGACTTCGACTAGTTATACAATATTTATTATATAACTTTCATTTCTTCTCCGTTCTTATTCTCATCGTAGGAACTACTGTTTATCAATTTGGCGTACCTAGGTACATACTCATCTATTTTAAATTGCGACCATGAGTTCCGAGGACTCCGATTTCTATGGTGGAGATATTCGGTCTATTTAACTAACGCTAGATTACTAATTCGCGGCCTTAGGCGACGACGAAGTTCTGGCAGATCTCAAAGCCAAAGTAAAGGTATTCGACGTTGAAGCTTGGTGGGAACAATACCGAACTCTCGATACACCGCTCAAGATGCAGGCGCAAAAGAAGGAAACCGTAGATATCTCTCATCTCCATAACCCGTATGCCGGTCTTAAGAACGCCTGGCAACTTACCGAGACCATTGAAGAATTCGTACAACGCGTTCCGCCTGCAACAACAGACGAAACTCCAGAAGACCCCTGGATTTGGGTTTGTAATCCATACATCAATCGCAAAAAGAAACATGAAGCAAGTAATCAAATGATCCCCGGCGGCGAAGACGAAGCCCCCGAAGAGGTTGGCGCAGACTTGCCTAGTGTGGTTGAGGGCGGGATGGCAAGACTACATCTTGCCTCAGAATTCATCGATGCATGCAAGAAGTCCGGAAACCAGCCAGGTGCTATCACTCGAGAATGTCGAAAAGCCGGGATGGACGCGGCCAAAGATATTCTCAACCTCGCAAGGATGCTACGCGTGAGATGTGGCAAGGTCAGTACATCATCACATATGAGTATATGCTTGAACCATCATTCCTGATATATGCTAGTGGATGCTCTTCTGTTCTGTCTTCCAGGTTAACGAGGTTTGGGAGACTGTCGCCAAAGCTACGGCAAATAATGAGCTTGGTATTGGCGCCAAGGTTGCGCCACGATCGACTACGGATAAGAGAACGGACCGGCTCATCTGCGTCTACACTGCCGATTTCTCCGATACGAAGGACGTCAAGAGAGTCGCCGAGAAGTTGAAGCAGCTCGGACTCATCCAGGCTAGGGATCGAGCAATTTACTACAAACCTGGTAAGTTTATTATCTGAACAGCTTCTGTCGGGACGACGCTTACCAGATTAGATGTGTACACTTACCTAGGCATAGCACGTGGCAATCCTTGGGAGATAAGGGCCTCTATATACGATAGTACCTCTATGCTTAAGAAAGGGTAGGATGGGAGAAGAGAGCCAGAATCGAAGAAAATGGAGAAATATGAGTTCTCATGGAAAATAGTTGAATTCGTCGAGATACCCTTTGCCACCGAAAGCTTGCTTCATGCATAATCAGAGACTTTGAGAAGTACAAGTACTAATCTGAATGTGACCCAAATAGGATCCCAATGCTTACTTACTACCCTTTTAACGCCACCAATGCATTGACCTTCCATGCTAATATCATCCAAATTCCACAGCTTGGTCTTGCGGCACCCTAGTCGTACCACCCTCCCTCCTTCCACAGTAGTCTTTCGGGAGACTCAATAAATTGCTGATAGTCTGAAACACCGTTGAGACTGCGTGCGTTCTGCATGCGTTCTGCATGCGTTCTGCATGCTAGTTCTAATCATAATATATCCACGGCTCACGCGCCGACGGTATAGAAGTAACCCAACCCGCCTCTAGTCAGGTTGCTGGCCAGGTTCGAGGTCTGCCGACTTCAAGAGTAGTACAAGCCTATAAGCGCTATTACCATTTAGATAGTATCGATGGAGCTTCTTCGATCGTAAGAATCCCAACCGCTCATATAGTCTCATAGCCGGTACGTTCGTTTCTTCGGTCTCTAAGACAATTTCGTCGGCATGGCGCTCAGCCATTGCATCGATCGCCATCCTCACTAGCGCCGTGGCTATGCCGTGACCCCTGAAGGCAGACGATACGGCGAGCATAGCTATATAACCTCGATGGGTCGGGGGTGAATGCGAGGCATGATGTTCGAGTTTGCAGATGATGACGCCCATAAGAGATTTATCGACAGGATTAAGTGCCTGGTATCAGGGTATCGAAATATTAGTAAAACGCCTAACGGCAGTACGAATACACGTGCATAAGCTTACCATATAGCACAAGTGAGCCCATTGGTACAAGAAATACCGGTAAACATATATGCTATAGGGCTCGCTGAGATCTTTCGAAATCAAGGCCCGGATAGCGGGTAGATACTTTTCTTCTAGTGCATGTTCGTATTGTATATATAAGAGTTCCCCCGGAAGCTCTTTCGCGCGAGCTATTTCCATAGCTTTTCTACGGGCTGGGTACGAAGGTCTGTCGGTAGCAAGAGATCCAAGAAGTTAAGCGCCGCTATCGGTATCGTCCGTCGGGCTTGTAAACTTAGTATGCACACACGGTCAATAGCGGAGTAAAGCCAAAGGTAAGTTCTAAAAGGCGCGCCGTTGAGAAACCGGGGCGGGGCGTTATAATGGCTGATATACTAGAAACATGAGTTGACTAAGACGGACAGATGGCCCGTTACAGTAATAGATTTGAGACGAAAGATGACAAGACGGGCCGCTTTCACATGCAAGCCAAAAAGAATTCGAGCGAGCTGACCTCTAGGATAGGAATAGTTCCGCGGGGCCGCCCGATTTGAGTTTAGATGGAGTTTAAATGTAATCCATGCTTGTCATGCAGTGGTACCAGAAGACCAAAACCCCGAAAGCACTACTGACCAACGGCCTGAAACGTTCCGAGCTTTTCTGCCGTTCTGGACTGCTGATTGGTCGGTACTTGAAGAAAGAAGGCAGCACATGGTAACGGGGACCCACTATCTAATGTACTGACGTCAAAAGTGCTACCAATTTCAATGCTAGTTATTGTTTCTGTCTAGACTTTCAAATGTTCCTCACCTGCTGCAAATTGATACCGTTTGATCAGGTACAGCCTTTTTAGCTTTTTTATAGCCTTTTTAGCTTTCAGCCATGAATTATCCGCGAACCTAGCAGAACAAAAACATTATTCCCACCTCTCTTCCCCAAGTTCCATACCGCTCGACAATACGGTAGCTGACGTTGCTTGCTTGGTCCCATTTAACGACGATCAAGCCCCATTCCGACAGCGCCGCTGCGGTTCCGTGTCCGATCTCCCCTCTCTCTCCACCGTCCACTTTTGCACACCGAGCTTTTCTGCCTGGTCATGTAGGCCTGCCCGACGATGGCATCAACTCTCCGACGCAGGGCGCTCGCCCCCGATAACTCATCCGAAACCTCGTTGTCGCTGGTGCCTACGCCGAGAGACGAAAGTCCGGTAAAGCCGGGCGACAAGGTCGAGATCGTACATCATGAACATAAGCCGAAGACGGGCAAGAGACGTAATACATTTATTTTCTTAATGGGTAGCTTGTTCGGTCTTATAGCTGCCGGCCTCCTGGCTAGGAATAATGACTTAATTGAACTTCCGGAGATTGGTGAACTTAGTATGGACAGTTTTCTTGACGTGTTACCAGCGGGTTTAGTTAAGGATATGAGGGATCTTATGGTACGTCTCTGCCTTCAAAGAGGGTCCGACTAAACTAATAAGCTCTGTGATTTGTAGAAAGGTGAGCGGGAATTTGTCGATAGCTACGATTCCTTTTCCGTAGGGGTGAAAGCCCGGACCGAAGGGCTTAACGTTCACCATCCCGTCATTCTGGTTCCCGGTGTCATCTCAACAGGCCTCGAATCTTGGGGCACTGCGAATATATCTCGTCCGTACTTTAGAAAGCGGCTCTGGGGTAGCTGGACTATGATGAAAGCGCTAGTTATGGACAAGGAGATATGGAAGAAGCACATCATGTTGGATAAGAAAACCGGGTTAGATCCGCCGAATATCAAATTGAGAGCTGCGCAGGGCTTTGATGCGACCGACTTCTTCATTACGGGGTACTGGATCTGGAGTAAAATCGTGGAGAATCTGGCATCGTTAGGCTACGACCCAACCAACTCATTCACGGCTGCTTACGATTGGCGCTTGACGTATCAAAACCTTGAGCTTCGGGACCAATACTTTACGAGGTTGAAAAGCTATGTGGAGCTGGCACACGAATTCTCTGGTCAAAAGGTGGTTCTTGTATCCCACAGTATGGGCAGCCAAGTTCTATTCTATTTTTTCCATTGGGTAGCATCTGCACAAGGCGGTAAAGGCGGTGACGATTGGGTCGAGCGTCATGTCGAAGCCTGGATCAATATTAGTGGATGTATGCTAGGTGCAGTTAAGGATGTGACCGCTATTCTCTCCGGCGAGATGCGCGATACAGCGCAGCTTAATTCCTTTGCAGTGTACGGGCTCGAGAAGTTCCTCAGCAAAGATGAACGAGCTGAAATATTTCGAGCGATGCCAGGAATGTCGGCTATGCTACCACTTGGTGGAGATGCGGTCTGGGGGAATCTAACATGGGCACCAGATGACCAACCAGGGCAGAAGAACTCGTTCGGTTCATTTTTAAACTTCCGTCGTGGTGTTAACTGGACCACGCCGGATCAAAACTTCACCGTTAGCGACTCGATGAAATATCTCATGGACACGACCGATGATTGGTACCGAGATCAGGTCAAGAAGAGCTTCTCTCATGGAGTGGCTCATACCACTGCCGAGGTAGAAGCCAATGAGCTTGACAGTCGCAAATGGGGCAATCCCCTGGAGACGCGGCTACCCCTAGCTCCGAACTTGAAGATTTATTGTTTTTACGGCGTGGGGAAACCAACTGAGCGAGCATACTACTACCGCAGCCCGGAATACCCGGCGTTCACAAACTTAAATGTCACAATCGATACAGGTCTGACCGTTGATGAAATTGATCACGGTGTTGTCATGGGAGAAGGCGATGGCACAGTTAATCTTCTAAGTAGCGGTTACATGTGCTCTAAGGGCTGGCGTATGAAGCGATATAACCCGGCTGGCGCCAAGGTCACCGTCGTGGAAATGCCTCACGAACCTGAAAGATTTAATCCTCGCGGAGGGCCCAATACAGCAGACCACGTGGATATCCTGGGGCGACAGAAGCTTAATGAATTAATCCTACGCGTTGTAGCTGGAAAGGGCTCCACGATTGACGACTATATCGTTAGTAATATTCGCGAGTATGCGGATAATGTTAAGATTTACGAAGAGGAGGATTAAAGTCTAACGTGGGATGACGAGTTAGATTAGAACTGGAATTGTGAACAAAATATGGTTGTCATAAATAAATATTAATGAAGGGACTGAGATGATATGTATACTTTATAGGGTAGTCAGTGTATTGTATTTTACTGGGACGATATGCATATGTGTTACTCTGCGCTTGGAGGAGTGGTGATGGTTGGAATAGATATTAGCTGGAGATAGAATCCTATAGATGACAATAGGGTGAGGCTAGAAATATAAGCGAATAGATGGATATGGTAAGAGTTGGTTTCTAGGGGCCATGGACGAGGTGGATTATGAGATTTAATGTTACCCCTTTTTCATATCTGGTCGTTGATTGAGGAGTTCGAATTACAGGGTGATTTCTTTGGATTCAGAGAAACCGAGTGTAAAGGTATCACATGAATTAAACTTTAGTGTTATAGATACCTAGGTGTTTACCTTCAATTGGAAGGGAAGTACGAAGTCGAAGTACTGTGAAAGGGTATTCAAGATCTTGAGGGGAGCCCATCCTACCTGGAAACTTACACAATACAACATCCTTTGATCCTCGGATCTACTATGTACCACAATCATTTCATACATATTTCTCGAAGTTCACTACAAGTATATATGGTATATTCTGCGTTAATAGTAAGAGGTGTAGCCCCTAGTTATACTGGGTGGAAGCTGGACTCAACACTTATAGGCTCGAAGTATGGCCAACGGAAATTATCTAGAGTCTTACACCAAAATGACTGGTTCACTCGCTTGAGCCTCATCAACGACCTCTCCTTTCATTACTCCATAGAGGTACACGTCTCCCACCAGTAGTCGATGGTTATCCGGGCTATCTATCGGGGGATTCCGCAGGAGAAACGGCGTGTTGGCGCCATCCAAGATCCATACTTCATCTCCCACTTCTACCACAGGCCAACAAAGCCCGATGCGCCCGCCCGATGTCACGAAAAGGGCTTTCCGATCTACCATACAACCTACAGTAACACGGTATGGGCGAGGAAGCATTGAGGAATGGGAATCCATATTAATGTACCCCTGCCACTGAGAGTCAGTTGGTAGTACTGGATCATCCCTCTGCAGTCGGCGATCTGCTTACTTTTTAGTCACCGAGTTTATAAGCAACCCAAGGCTAAGGCATACCTGTGCGGATAGAAGGGGTCAGGACAACATGACACTAAGATATCAAGATGTACTATATTGTCGATCCTAAGATAGCTTGATAACAGAGCCACATTATAATTATGTGTAAAAACTATAATACAATTCCTAGTCCTGTTTGCAGCTAAGCTTAGTCAAGGTGTCGGCGCGTATATGTATTGAACGCCATTATCCCGTTAAGGGAGATTTCCCTCGAACGATTACAATAATTATCGGCTTTATGCCCTCGCGACAAATTCTACTAATGGCTCTGAAATAAAAAAAGATAATGTTGACGGGATTTTACTGTTAAGGGTAAGGGATACTATCACGGTTCGTAAGGGGTTGTCGAGCTTGTAGCACTCACCGGTGATGATATCGCGACAACAAGCCACTAACACACTCGCTATATCGATATTACTAGATGAAGTATTAACAGTTACCAGTATTTGTTTTTACGAATATAATAATAAAACCTAATTAGTATAATGGCCTATACCCGCCCCAATTAGTCGATACTACTTCGTAAATAGATTGGGTATAATGCTCTTTAAGAGCTTAAAGCACCTTGGCTAACCTAGAAAAGTACTTAAGTAGGTGCTATTTAATATACTTTATGTAGGTAGTTGAGTAAATAACTTTGCTTAAAAATGTGCACTTACATGAGGCCTTGCAGTACCGCCTATCGCGTGACAGATTTAATGACATTCGAATAGGGGAGAGGACGAGGCAAATCTAAATGCAGAGGGGAATCCCTAGGATTCAAATAAGCTTCCAAGTACGTACCTACCTACGTATCCACATTCAGAATCCATATCAGGTGGTATGTGCACTGCACGTGCGACCCACGTGACCACCATAATCATAAACTTGTGCTATGTACCTCTTGCCTCTGCAATTAAATCACAATTATAACACCACGAACCAAACTCCAATTCATAATACAGCTAGCGTCAAATCAGCAAGAATTACCTTCCTCAATCCTAATTCAATACCGTCATCCGAGCCATGGATTCTTCTGAGAAGAGAAAACAGCCTCCCTCTAATGGGTCCGACGGTCGTCCCGTTAAAAAAAGCAAAGTGAGATTATATATAACCGTCTCTAGCCTATATGTTCAATATCTTACCATTTTGCAGGGAGGTAGCAATGGTAGATGGCAGACACCTCATCAGAAGGCCAAACTCGAGGCCATAAAAGGCAGAAGTCTAGAAGTGGGTGACATGGGCATCTGGACCACATGTGTTAAAGGCAAGGAGCGACAGGCCTTAGGAGAAATGATGGATCTTTGCGAAGAGGTATTCCTATCACTTAATTCCGCCATCTTGTTCTGCGATGCTCAACGTACCTATATCTAGTACGGAGAGAAGCTTTACGACATCAAACGGCAAGAACCCGCCGAAGCCCAGGATGACGAGGATGATGATGATATCGAATCATCCATCAAGAAGGAAATCCAAGAGATGAAACCTGCGAGCAAATCGAAGGACTCGGTATTCGAGCCCATGCGCATGAATCTCGATTGTTTGCTTTTCATACGGACGAAGCCGCCTGTCGACCCCGTCGCGCTCGTTCAGCAGATCTGCAAGGATGCAAAGGAGATTACCGAGAAGTCTCAGCGGCGAACGAGATTCATCAACCGGTTTACCCCCGTCGCGCTGACTGCGAAAGCTACCGAGGCTGGCGTTGAGGAGGTTGCCAAGAATGTCCTAGCTAAGCACTTCCAGCTTGCAGGCGAGGACGAGCAGGAGGAGGTCCCTAAGGGGGATGCTTATTCGGTGCGCTCACTCCCCAATTCGCCTCCAAGGGGGAAATTACTGACAGCTTGAGTTAGTACGCCATTCGGCCTAGCTTCCGCGCCCACAACACTCTCAAGCGCGACGATGTGATCAAGAAAGTCGCATCGCTCATCGCGCCGCGCCACAAGGTCAACCTCTCATCCCCGGACAAGGTCATTCTTATCGACATTTACCAGGTACATCTGTGCCCCCAAAATTACCCCCCGTACTTAAAACCCCCAAACTAACTATCACAGACATTCTGCGGCATGAGCGTCGTCGACGGAGACTGGGAGTCTCTGAAGCGATATAATCTCCACGAGATATACCTGTCGGCGCTGGGGCCCGACGAGAAGAAGAAGCGGGAGAATGTTGTACAGACGGAAGAATCTAAGGATTAGAGTTGGCCCCCGCGCAAAATGTCTTCGGGTGTATATAATCGTGTGGTGTTGCCGAAGTTTGCGCGCCGCGCGAGAGCCAAGTTATAGCTCTGTGTGTATGCTATCATTCGTGTACTATCTAGAGACATACTAAGATGCTTACAACAATGAGAAAAAGAAAAGTACCTAACATAAATCATTATATTGACTACGCTGCTTGAGAGCTAATCTATGTCATCAATAATATAAGAACTAGAAGGTGGTGTTCTATTTTGTATCTTACATCCCCCCTTCGCACACTATTATAACTCTCAAACATCAAGACCAGCCTCACATGAAGCCAGTAAAAAGCTATAATTTACAGAATATGATAGGCTTCCATATAGTGCGATGCTACATTAGATAAACTGCGCTAATACTCGTGGAATGTAACGTAGACTATGCACTAGTATTTGATTATGAGAGGTAATTGGTGTTTTGCGTTGCACGCATTAGTCCTACCCCGGATTTCAGGTCGATTTGCTGAGCTAATCCTATACCCTCTTTCGACTACCTGCCTAGGTACCTCTTACATATTCCATAAAGGTTGACAGATGGTGAATATTTGGTGGTTGATTATCAAGTGGGAATTTCTCACTTGAAGAGGTTATGATATTACGTTTGGAGAATTGTATAGTTACCCCAAAGCAATAATGGTATATTATAAGGTACCTGACCGGCCTTTTTCTAAGTATTTTGATAGGTAATTCGTTATTAAAGCATACTTTAGGTGCATGTATTGTTCATGTTATACGCTTCCTTAATACCCCCCTTTTACTATAGTCGATGCAGTACTTGATACTTATATTCTGCTTAAAAGTAAACCCTTTAGTCAAGTGAGACAACCCAACTTCATCTATTCTACCCTTTCAACGTGTACATTACGCGCTATGGTAACCGAGCCTCTAAGGCGGTAGCCATGGGAGAAATGTTGCTTACATTCACTGTCAACCACATCTTGGCGTAATCTTGTTTGGAAACGGACATAACACGATTTATGACTCCCCGGCTTTCTTGGAGATCATATGCTGTAACTTCACTGTTAGCAGGGAGTTTCGGAGTCTTGCTAAAAAAGAACTGCCTGTCTAAGCCAATGCAGTGGATTACTAGGTACAAGGCTCATCCTCAGGATCCCAAGGCCGCGGAGATATTTAGAGGAAAGGAGTCATTGCATGTTACCTATTAGAAATCCCATGGTACGAAACGCCCCCAATGACACGCGGATTCCCTATTGAAGCAACCAATATCACTCAACATCGAGGAATTAGAGAGTTGCCTTTTATATCAAAAAATTTGAACCTATATCACACAAATATTGGGTCGGAGATTATGCTTAAATCCTAACTTCTGATTTCCCCACGAATGCACAGTGCCCGACGGCCCCGTTGGAGCGGTTTAAGTCACTGCCGGCGGTTAGACTTGAGCCTTTCTATAATAAGACATTAATATTGATATGATTGGTTAGCCGGTATTCGTTCCGAGATACGATGACATCTATTTTTTTGGTTTTCTCTTTTATTTACGAGTTACGAACTCGAGTTAAGGTGGTCGGTACTAAGCGCGCGACGCGTATCGTCGGGAGAAGAAACATATATGCGTCGTATATATCGTATAATGTTGAAAGAGGCATAATAATGCGATGCTAATGCTACTACGTGACGTGACAGCAGCTGTACGAGATGTAAGTCGTTATGTATGTTTTATATTGAATGTGACGTAGATTGACCAACCGATGGCATGCGGGGAGTAATTATTCCCTCATTCCACTAATACCCCTTACATCCCTTATTACATCCCGTACATCCCTTACATCCCTTAACTTTTTACACTAACATTATTAATCAGAACGGACCGATACCGTCTTATTACCGCCTACTAAAACAAGCAGGTAACAGGACTTGTTAAAATATAAAAACCGATGGAACTTTAGTGCTTATTTAGCTTTAAGTGTGTTACTCGACGTTTATATTTGATTGAAGAAAAAGCAAGGCTCTAGTTAATCTAAAAGCTAAACCATCCTTTACATAGTATCTTTTCTTTCCCCGCAAAGACGTTGGTGTATGTTACACTGTCGCATTGCGGCGTAAGACAAGGCTACAGGACACGAAACCATGGGTCGTCTCCACCCAAGTACTAAATATTGTTATGAGTGGAGGGATATCTGTTGTCAGAGGCGGAGAGGAACAATAGCCGAGCAGAAATCCCCGGACGGAGGCGGATGGATTCCGAATTCGACATCCGAGGCTTGGCGGAGATTCAGATGGGCGCCTTCACGACTAGCTGGCTATCTGGGGCTGGCAAATACCGTATCCTATTCAGATCAAAGCCAGTGTCTGCTCTTACAAATGCCGCCTGAGATACGGCTTGCGATATGGGAGTACGCGCTTGGAGACGACGACGCGTGCATACTGAGGAAAGTAAATAAGCTCGCGCACGTCGTGCTTCCGCGTGACCAGGGGAGACTCGATGAGGCGGACCAGAATAGGAGACGCGCCTACCAACCGCTCTGGAGGGAGGCCGGGGCTGAGAGACGGTTCCTGGCAGATGATGTAACGGCCGAGTTTAACATGCTGACGTCCCTCCAGAGCTGCAAACGGATGTAAGTTGACTCATTTCGAAGAGAAATAAGATTACTACCGATGTTAACATGAAAAAAATTAGGTACTGGGAGACATTAGGTCTATTATACAGACGACACTTCAAGTTCGAGAGGATGGAGGCGTTTTACCGCTTTCTCGTACTTTCGCCAACAGCGGGCCTCGAAGCCGTGCGGTCGATTGAGCTCGACTGGTCCGGGTTTTACTACTGGGCGCGGTTCGAAGAAAAGGAGACTCTAGGGTCGCCTCTGAACCACAACGAGAGCTGGCAGGAGATCTGCGACGCCGTCGTAGCTATGACGGGCCTGAGACGCCTGACGATTCGCGTGCTGGCGTTCGAACACCCTTTACTAGAGGACGAGTGGTATTGCATGATAAATAAGATCGTAGCGCCGCTTGAGCTGCTGTCGAGTCGGGTGGAGTTTACGGTTCTTATTCGAGATGAGGGGCTTGGACGGAATTTCCAGGATCGGTTGCGTGAGGAGGGGTTTGAGAAGGTTAGAGTTGATAGTCTTTCTGCGGCATGATATACCCTTTTCGTCCTTTTCGTAAGGAAGCTTTTGGTTCAATTAAAGGAATGAAAAAAATAACAAATTCATGAATATAACTTAGGAATTAAATGCGTCTGTCGTGAGGTGGAGCAAGAAGCAAGGAAACAACTTCACTGTCCCGCGAGGAACTTTAAGCTAACTATGGGAGCTTACGGCTATATATACTGACAGTATCATTTGTTCTAAATGACTCTTATTATAGTTCACGGGGTAGTTCACAGGGTAGTTGTCGGGGCTGGCTATATGAGGCACGCCCGCCACGATGGTCAGCCTAATGGTAGGTATACCACCAAGTGATACGCCGGAGCTGGCAGTTTTCGAGAGAGGTGCTGAAATAACTTTATGGAGAAGAGTTATAATTCGGTTTAAAAGGAGAGGTTATAGCTAATTGTAGTATTTAATGTAGTTTGCTGAGGTATCAGCCTTACAGGACTAGCAACTAGCCTAGGTAATTATTTCCCCTTTTCTGGGAACGAATGGTATCTTACTTAGCCTACTTTAGCAGCTATTCATATATTTATGCTACGCATCAGATACGCCTCGAAATAAAGGAGACAGTTCAAAAAGGCTACAAATAAGTTTCAAGTCTTGCAAATATCGCGTTTATCGACCTAAGAGCTGGATAGCCTCACAAGTAACTGATGATCGTAAGGAAACGAGCCACCATCGTATGAAATGTAACTAGTGCTCCTGGATAATTTGTTTATAAGAGTGTATGGGATAGTAATAACTATTCATTGGAAAGAAAGCGTTGCTATTAATTCTAAAGGAGTGGTAGGTATAGCAACTAGTCTGTCGGCCTGGTAGGGCTAGTTGATAGTTCTGGCTGAATACCCCTAAGAATAAGAGCTTTTACAAGCGCTCATCGAATATATTACTTATCTGCAATACCTATGATCTACTTCTAAGACCTTGACATATGGAAATAGACATCATCGTCTTGCCAGTTCTTGTCATACTTAGTCGGCACATGCTCCAATCAATACCTAAGACTCTGAGTGGTTGGTGTCAGGGAATAAGTGGGTTAGGGGTAGATTCAGGGGTAGACCTACTAGGATTGGGTATATATAAAAGGCGTGCAGCGCCCTCGGAAGAAGGTAGAGGGCCAGGCGTTAATAATTCAATTCGACTATCCCGACATTCAATCTATGTATGACATCAACCGAAGGTTCTTTCTATCTGACAGTTGGAAATATGCGAATCTTCTGGTCTGCAATCCTGAGAGAAGGGAGTGCCATAGTGTCCCTCAAGAACATCGCTCCAGCTCAATATCTATTATACACTTAAGTTTCTCTAACCTAGAAGAATTAGCGAGGCATTTTTGTTAGTGCGAGCATACTACTCGATTATCACGTTAAACAAGTCGGCGACGTTAAGCCCGGGTATGTCGGCGACACCAGCTTCAACGTAAGGTAGGGGCATCATAATTCCCTAGATTCCGAATGCCGAGGCGCCGAAGCCCCTTAAATTTCAAAAAGCTTGGAAGCGAACCGGATCGGCGGCTCTACTAGTTTAGCTGCATATCACAAGTGGTTGATTGCTTCGAGATCTTATCGATTTGCGAATCTCCCGGATCGTACCTAGGTTTTGGACTCGGGGAATGGGACCGTATCCACTTGAGTACGGGTTGTTTGTTGTGCTGGTGCGTGATCGACATAGTACCGAAGCTTTGGGAGGTTCCGGGATTTTTGATGTCTTGTTAGACATCATCGTTGGATTATTAAATATTTGTTACGGCGTTTTTAATGGGCTCCAGTTAAACTCAACACTCTTATACATAGTAAGTTGGAATGGCATCATGTACATAGGTAGTGCTTCGACTCGGTATGCCTCTTTAAGCCATTTAAAGACTCATGTGTGGCAATATTATCCCTTCAGCGAATTCTATTATTTAATGGACCCACGTTGTCAAAATGCTATTCAAATGCAACGTAATACCGAAAGGCTTTAACTTCTGTATCCACACCATACAGCTAAATTTCAGCTGTCATGCTTTACCGGTAACATGATGGGGATGTATGCAGGCATACCCACAAGCTACTTATGAATGATGCCCGAGCGTAACATATTCTATCGATAGATCTACGTCAACTAGACCGGCATCGCCAAGGATTGGTACTCTGAGGCTGATATTTGATTTGTGCTAGGCCCTGCAAGACCCAAGAGGAGCTTATATACTATCACAAAGGAGGTAAAGCCTTCACCAGTTGAGTCTCTATTCAAAAGAGCCTGAGAGCACCGGTATGTCAGTCGATACCTTGGTCTAGAGTTAAGACTCGGGATGTAACCATTTTTCTATCTGGAAGTGGTGAGGTGAGGTTCTTTAACAAGCGAACCCTTGATGGACTAAACTCGTCGGTTTACCACTACCTAGGAAGCGTTACATTGGAAGCTAGAGAACCGAGTCTTTGGCCTATCTCGACTTGGCAACGGCAATGCATCCCGGACTAAGACCTTACAAAGGCACTTTGGATGTGGGGAAGACAAGCTATCCTAGCTATAAACAGGGGCTTTTCGCTTAAGATTACCGTTTAGCTTCGCGGGACCGATAAAGATGCCATTCGTGGAGGGTCACATTGACTCCATCGATGATCGAAGCCCGGAGATGGAACGCCCCGGCTGCTTATATGGGGTTCAAGTAGCGCATACTCTAGGCCAATGGCATCTTAAATGTTGGGAGGTGCAGCTACTCATACTCGCTTTCGTTTGTTCGGGATGGGGTATATGATTCGCTCAACTTTTTGACCTGGTGTTTTACTCTAGGGGGTTGTTGGAGACCCTTAGTGGCTTTCGCCGAATAGGTAGATCTGAGCCAATAACGTCGTCTGGTATCATGATATCCTGCCTATGCGTGAAGCTAGGGCTGTTGCCTTTAAGCCACATACAATTACTTGGAACATTTAAGGGGCAGGAGACTAACACGTCACAATAATACGACCAACGCCATGAGATGACCGCGTCTACGTGTTAAATTTTACCCCTTATCTAGGTTCAGCTGGGTTTTGGATCAATTACAAGGAGTGATCCGACTGCCATTTTTTGTAGTTTTATAGAAGAATCCGAAGGACTTACCTGCTTATTATATACTAACTAGATAGAGATGTAAGAAGCCGTCAGGTTTTCTTTTGGTAATGTAAATTGGGGTTTGTCCATATTTGAACGCTGGGAGTTCGCTAACTCATAATACGGGGTTATAGAAACAATAGACTATTAGTTTACTAAGAGATTGGCCTACGAGGTAGCTATTATTATCTAAAATCCCGAACTCTCGTAACGTTCCAATGAACCTGAGTTGTGATTACTGGGATCAGCCACTACTCCTTAATACCGCCTGCTCATTAAAAACAAAATACGCAATAAAGGGATCAGGGCACGGACACGCCGAGTTAAAAATGACAACGTGCTCGATTATTCAAGAGAGGCTGTGTGGATCGTAGGTAAAGGATTCTCAAGGAATAAAGGAACAGGCCGTGTTTGCGAAACCCTCCTTACATTTTTAACACGAAGCCCTCATCCCTCACCGAGCAGACCGAGGCACAGCTGCGCTAAGCCCTGTTGCGGAAGAATTGACGACAAACTACATACATACGGACCATTGCGAGCATCGCTATGGTTGAGCTATCATTTGTTTGCTCGTTGCAGGCCGTTGACGATCGTGAAGGAGCCGGCATGGCGCGGGTAGATGGATGCTACTGCGTATTCCGGCGAGTGAAAATTAAGAATGGCGATGTCTCGAGCCTTTAAAACTGCCATGTACGCACATATGCGTATATTACGCGGGGACGATGGAGGTCTGGATTGTTCCGTGCTGCCGGCACCGCACATCACCTTGCATCGAAGGAGCCGAGACGGCATAACATATTTACGAAAGAAGTAATATAGTTGCCGGACCGGGATGGGATTCTACGTGTAAGATGTATACCTGGAAATGGACATATTTGTTTCTTTACCTAAGACGGGGACTTAGAGAGCAAGTACTTAGGTATGTAGTAAGATTTTGCAGTACTGGACTCTGTGTAAGTAGTTAGTGGCGAAATATCTCGTGAGGCCGTAAGATACATGTAAGAAGACTGTAGACAAGTTCGAGAAATATCGAATACCGTTGGAGATGTGATAGGCCAAGCATGCATCGTCTCTCTTACATGAGCATACGCATATTGGCAGATTGGCATATTTGATGATGGAATGGTAGAGTCAGCAATAGCAGCAGCAGCAGCAGCAGCAGCACAGGGGTGGATGGGTAGTATTATACTACGCATGTACTAAAGTATGTAGGTACTAAAGATTCGCGGACTCCCCATTAGAAAGGAGGCTTAAGGTGCAAGGGCGGAACGGAGTGACCCATAATTCAGGCTCGGGACCTTACTACTTTCAACCATTTTCGCTTACTGCCAACCAATCAGAAATTCCCCGTCTCGCTTGCTAATGCAACTTCATGTATGTACTATGTAATTCACGTACCCAATGCTGGGAAACCTCCACGGATCTACATTATGAGGTAGTATACCCAAGTACATGACATAGTTACCTCACATAACATGATCTCGACCTACCACATACGTAGTAGCTTAATCAAACCGCCAACCTTCAAACCCACAGTCCCACGTTGCTCATTACATACATCTATCAAAAAAAAAGATCTAACCAAGTTCGACTGCCCTTAACCCTTAACCTTTAAACCTAGTATAGGCCAGCAACTAACTACCACCTAGATTAAGCAACTAATTAATCACCTAATCACTAACTACCTACCTAACCATCGTGTTATTCTCGTGGCACTCTGTTACGCACACCGCTGGATTGGTACGCAACCCTGATGGATATTGAGACAGCTATCGTGCCAATGCAACATCGCTTGTCAAAACCCAATGACGGATATGTAGCTATTCTGTTTCTACAAATCCCGATTTCAACTCGGGGCTTTGGACTTTAACCTTGGGTACACTTTGGCGTCATACACTATAATAGTCATATACGGATTAACGCGTGGGACTACATTAAAATGAGTCCCACAGCAGCCCGCCTGCCTCCTCATGAGCTTTTTCTCAGCTCGCCCGCTTGCCGCACCCTAGCTGGGATCCCGGCCGTGGGAATCTCAAGTAATGCAACTCGGGCTTCGAGAAGTCTGGAATCTCTCGCCTGGCGCCTTGGCGTTCGGATACTTATTGCCCTTGAGCGGAATACACACTTCCATCATACTTCGTCGTTTCACCATGGATAACATGCGTTTGTCCATTTCGACGTACAATGTACATGGGCTGCAGCCACTCGAGATCTTTAGCTCCACTTCCTTTGACCTATTTGCGCCTTACTTAGGCGAGTATTACCTGTTATTACCTTAGTTCCCTTCTGAGCCGCGAGTCGGATTGTCTCTCTCTTCGCCTGGCCGCCACGCCTTATTCGCTAACAACCGTTGATGTATCCCATATTAGCCTCGCTAGTGTAGATGTTCCTGTCGTCCTTTCATACCTATCGTATCGTGTAATACCGCTCTTTTGCCCTTGGGCTGAACATGTCCTGCGGATCCCATCGGACAACGCTCGTCTATTAGCTTGCTATGCCGAGACAGCTGGCTGTATATGGCCTCCGTTTCCTCGTATAAAGGCTCTTAAATCGACGATATTGCTCACTATTTTAGGATGTTACTTTGTCCTGCCCGTTTGCTACCTAGAGTCGTCTAAGAGCCTATATCCTGGACGCCAACGTCTGCAGATCCACAAACTAGCTGCCTGCTTTTTTTTAAACATAAGACTTGCAGATCTGGGGTTGTCAAGCCGATCTGCAGGTTCAGGAATTTGCTGACGAGTTCATTTAAGTAGGTTCTCGTCTCGGCATATGTCCGGTTTGAGTATTCCTATCATTCACCGAAGAGCAAGCACCCGTCTCAACCTTCTACTTTGAGCCATTATTTGTCCTTGTTATAGTACTTTATCCTATAGAAAGGCACATGCAACAAGTACAAGTAATGCACCCAAATTCAAGGGTGGCCTTAGCAGCACCAGTCGACCCTTGCTACGTCGGCCCCGGTGGCCATTTTCTTTCACTCCATATTCCCGAGTCTCCTACTCAAGCTCGTCCGTACAAAGGGGGCCTCGAAGTACCCGGCCTATTCTGTTCCACAAGATGGCTTCCTTCACGTCACCAACCATCTTCTGTTTCACGAGCCCAGCGATCGTTTCCTATATCCTCCATGGACCGAATTAACCCGCTCGAATTAATACGCTTGGCAATACAAAAAGCGTTGCCAAATATTACCGTCGAGTCTGTTAGCCCATTACCGACCTGTCGACTCCTAAGATTTTTCAACGTTAAGATCTCGGATGGCAGAGCATTAGTTCTCAGCCTGCCACCACCTCCGACACTGAGATTACTCCGGTCTGAGAGGAGCTTGAATCTTTCAGAGACCCTTGTAACAAAGTGGGTTCTTGAAGCAGTACTTGAGCCTCCTATTAAGGTTGAGAATATAGCCCGGAGAAATATCAGCTCCGATCAGCACGCTCAAGGCACACTGGTGAAGGATGAACTGGAGAGTAGCTTTGAGAGGGAAATGAGCTTGAGACGAGATGTGCTCAAGTGTCTTCCCGTCCTCGTCACCCATGTCCCTTCGTCGACGGAGTTGGGTTCTCCATTCAACATCTTCGAGCCAGCAAGAGGGGTCACTATTCGTGAACTCCCTACGCCCTTAGCACCATCTGAGAGAAGTATGGTAGACTTTCAAAAAGGCCAACTCGTACGACAACTTTCGAGCTTCGTGTCACCGGAAGGGCTCTTCGGACCGGCTACGGCGGTTATCAGTCCACAGCCACCGTCCACCGACTTACACGCGGCACAACTAGCTAATCTCGGCCTTCGTAACTCGAGAACGTGGAAACAAACTTTCCATTCTCTCCTAGAGGGCGTACTACGAGACGCGGAGGATATGGCCGTTACAATTAGCTACGAGCCAATCAGAAGCTACTTCAATAGACTAGGACACCTCCTGGACGGTGTAACCACTGCCCGGCTGGTAATACTAGATGCAGCCGATGACTTAAACATACTAGTATCGCGGACTTCAAACCAGAATGGTAGCAAAGACGAGAACAACAAACAGTTAATACCCACCCAAGATACAAATCAAATCAAAACAGAAGACATATCCGAGAGAACAATACCAGAACAAACCCCAGGAGACAAGACCATAGAACCACCCGACGCAAATCACCACCCCATCACCGTCACCGGCCTCCGCGACTGGAGCAACAGCATCTTCGGCGACCCTCTCTTCAGCGAAATCTTCAGCCAAGACCCCACCCCAGACTTCCTCCGCGGCTTCCACCACCCCAACAACCACCCCAACCTCATCGAAGACCCAGCCAGCGCCTCCGCGCGCCTCCTCCTCTACGAGTGCTACCACGCCACCGTAGGCGTAGTGCAGCAATTCTACCGGCCCGGCCCCAGCAGCAGCGACCGCGAGATCGCGGCGCGTCGACGGCTGGCTGCGGCGCTGAAGCAGCTTGATGATGTCGACGATGAGATTGTGGGGAAACGGGCGCGGAGGCCTAGTGCGAATGTGGAGGCGTGGCCTGTTAAGAGGAGTAGGGGGGAGGGGGAGGGGGAGGGAGAGAGAGAAGGGGAAGGGGTTAATGTAGGAAAAGGGGAGGGGGGTGGGGGGATGGAAAGGGGGAGGATAAAGGAGGAGGAGGAAGATGAGGAAAAGGTGTATGAGTCGATTGAGAAAGATGAATATATACGTGGGCCTTGATGTATTTAATTGCTGGTCTTGTATATAGGAGGGATACTAATTACATACTTCGTACATAGGTTAGGTACCTACCTAGATACATGTAAGTAGCTGGAGACTATGTGTATGGATAGATGGACATATCATATATATAACACGATATAGGTAATCATGAAGAGAAATCTTGCCATGCTAGCGTTTGTATGTAATATCGTGCCTGATTTTATAATTCCAGTTCCCTCTGGATTTGTTTGCTTCCTGTCTGTCTACCTACCTATACTTTGCCGTGAATAGTATATAGTAATATATATACTAAACTATACACGCAATACGGACCAGACTACTCATATACCTACTTCTTCTCCTTTCCCCTCTATATACCAAGATAACCCTCCTCTCCCCTCCAATCCCTCAAGACAACAAAACCCTAATCTCCCCCGTCGTCCTCGGGAACATCGCTCTCAACCCCGCCCTCTCCTCCCCCCCATTATCCCCTCCCCTTCGTTCCTCAGCCGCCTCATCCGCCGCAACAAGCAACTCCTCTACATGCTCGAAATCAGCACAGAACCGATCCGCCGCCTCCTCCGTAACCTCGCGCGCCAGCCGCGCGTCCTGGAGGTTCTTGACGTTCTCCAGCGCGTCCATGACGGCCGACGGTAGGAAGTCGTCTAGACCCTGGGCTGCGCGCGCTAGGGACTCTGGTTGAAGTTCCGGGAGAGAGGGGAGCTTGGCTACGTCGGAGGGACGCGCGTCGCTTAGGGGGGATAGGGCCGTGAATAAGGGTTCGAGGGAAGATTCGGTGCGGAAAAAGGCGTATTGGTTTTCGACGAGGCGGGCGCTGTGGTCGGCGATTGTAGAGCGTAGACGCTCGAGGCGGGTGCGTGTGAAGGATTGGAAGGGCTCGAAGGCGGTCTGGGCGGCGAGGAGGCAGTTTATGAGGAATATGGAGTTAGACGGTGCGGAGATGTTCTTGGCCATGTTAGAGCAGCCGGCGAAGAAAGGGTCGAAGGATTCGGCTAGGATGGGCTCGAAGTCCGCCTCGCGGTCGCCGTCTGCGGCGAGTGAGGTCTCGTAGGTTTTCATAATGGCTGTTAGTTGTTTTAGGCAGTCTTGCAGGAACTCGGGTGGTCCGAGGTCCGACGGCGTGTGTTGGAATTCGCCCTCGAGGGTGGTGATGTGATCGCGCATTAGAGAGCGGAATTGCCGTAGCGCTTCGGATTCCAAGTTGCTCATTGACTGGAGCAGGACTGAGTCCTCGCCGAGAAGCTTGGAAAATGTCACGCGGTAGAACCCGAGGAGGTTGGCTAGCTTGTACGCTAGAATGGTCTCCTCGTTGGTTTGGATGACCTGCTCAACTCGTTGCCTTAATATGCGCGCTGCGCCGGAGACATCCCGGTCGACTAGCTCGTTCAGGGCCTTGACGGCGTCGAATTCCGGAGGCCCATCTGCCTCGTCAGCCATCATCATCCATCGTTCGTTCTCCCGGCCCTCTTGGATGCCCTTAGCAATCTCGTTACCATCGGATATAAACAGGATCTCGAGGGCTTCGCGCTCGCTGACAGCGGCGGAATGCGTCCACGCCAGCATGTCTCCCGCATACCGTAGCGGATCGTGAGCTACGAGCTCGATCGGCTTTACCGAGTTATCCTTGCTACCGGCTGCGGATGTACCTGTCAGTGCGAGGTAGAAAGAATCAGATAGGATCTGCTCCCTGGCCTCGGCGAAGAAATCCAGACAACTCTGAAAGAGAGAGGGCCTCTCGGCAAGCACGCGGATGGCGCGGCGCACAGGCGAGTTGATCTGGGGGTTCTCGAGGTTGAGCGTCTTAAACTCCTTCTGGACCCAGCGATACAGCTTCTGCATGGCCAGGTTCAAGTTCTTGGAAGTCTGGTCCATGATCTCTAGGCCTAGGGTCTGACTCTCGAAACCGAGCAGGAATTCGCAGTCTTTCCTGATGCGCTTTGCCTTGGCTAGGACGGCGAAGAAGCGGTCGTCGACAGGCTCAGCCGTTAAAGTCAAAGAGGCGATCTCGTCCTCCGATAGAAGGAAGTGCTCGTGGAAGGCCTTTAAGACCTGCTGCTTCGTCTCTATATTCTTCCTCTGGGTCATGAGAGAAGATGCTTCCTCGAGTATAGAGGAAGTCGACTCGTGAGCCGCTGTGGCATGACCTCTCATCTCTTGGTAATTCTTGTTGAGCTTATTAATAGTTGTGCCGATTCTCCTTAATTGCTCGGCTACCCGGCCGAACTCTGTGATTATTTTCCCATTACTATCGATGACCTCTTTCTGGACGTCTAGCCGCAACTGTCTCCGGGTATCAGCCGTGTTGCTGATGCCGCGCTCATCCAGCAAAGCCAGAGACTCGCGGAACTCAGCATCGGCATATGAAGTCGATAAAACAGATGTCACCTTAGACGACAGCGGATTTGATGATCGGCCCGGAAATGAGGCGCTCGCGGGCGACAACGGTATTCCATCATGTCCAGGTAGACGGGGTGAGGCAAGGCCATCTGAGGCCATATTTCATATTTCTAATTACTTGAAACGATCCCGGACTAGCTTAACTTACGTCATCTCATTTCCATCTTACTAAGGGATAAGATTCAAGAAAAAAAGAAGCGCCAAATTGCTAGGGAGTATCTCGAATATCGTAGGATGTTGTTGTGTTGTTGAATATGTCCACTGTGTGAGAGGCGCCACCTGGGAAATTATGTCTGACAGCTGGAGAGATTAGTGCAAGTTTAATAGGTGTAATAGGTACCTAATCTTAGGTACTTCGTACAAGGTATGCTGGGAAATGCTACGCCTTATCGAATCAAATGACTTCATCTATACGATAACGATAGTGATAAGGATACTAGTATGTAACGCTCGGGCAGACAGGTACTTGACCCATGAACGCGCGCGGCTGCCTGTGAACATCAAGTCATTAGGTCCGTTTGACAGTTCAGAGTCCGAATGACCAACTACAACTTATTCACCATTTTTAGTAAAAAGCACACCTGATGCTTAGCCTCTTCTTTACAGACATCCTTAAATCATAGGACCTTTAATGTTCTATGTCATGGTTAATGGCATGTACATGTTGTAAAAGGTCCTTATGCTTCATATTGTTCAAGCTCTAAGTTAGAGCTTATATTATAACCTTTGCCCTATGCTACAAGTTAAACCTAACCCAGGTAGCTTAGGTATTCATCTTAAGCTTTGAGACGCTCGACGGCTCCTCTTTTTACATAATATATCTACCCTACTCTTCCCATGCAGCCGGTTTGATCATGATAAGGAAGAAACACGGACCCTATTAAACTCGACATACCCATGAGCCGATACGATGCCTCCAAACCTCTTCTCCCGCTTCGTACCGTCCGGCGACGATAGACCCTTGTACGACCGACTTAGAAACGGTCAAGATGACGATATCGAAAGTAGAGCTGGCCTCGACCTAGACGAGGAAAACCTAGCCCAACATTTCCAAGATGATGACCTCGACCACGCCGGTGGTCCTAGTCTCGATGATAGCCACATTTCCGCACCACGCAGCCCTGTCGCTGCCGCAAGTAGAGCTCGTCGCACCGCTGCGAGAGCAAACCCACACGAGGCGAGATCGCGATGGCTTACACAAGAGGACGATATGGATAACGATGTTCCCGCCTCTCTCCTAGTAGAAGGTCCCGATGCCACCGCATCCAAGCCAAACCAATACAGGACAAGCCCTCAGCAGGCACGGAATTCTACTAGACGCCACTCTTCGAACCGGAGGATACAAGCGCAGTGGGAAACTGCGCAGGCGCATCAGAGGCTACATCAAGACGAGGAATACGGTCCGTCAACCAGCGACCAGCCCCAGAGAGGCGGCACTGTGAGGGGTCCGGGATTCATAGGCAGCCCCAAAGACAAGGCTATGTTTAGATGGGCTAACGTCTCCAATCTAGACGTCTTCATCAGGGATGTCTACGACTATTACCTAGGAGCGGGAATATGGTGTATCCTACTCGACAGGGTCCTACATTTATTAAAGGTTATCTTCGTTGCGACTTTACTCACACTATTATCGCAGTGTATAGATTACAGCAAGATCCGCGATAGTAAGAGCCTGTCGCAGATCATGATTCCCCAGTGCACGAAGCACATGTGGGGAATATGGAACTTGAGCCTCTGGGTTTGCAGTTTTTACTTTGTCTGGAAGAGCATTCAGTGGATTCTTGATATACCGCGTTTGATGCACATCCGCGATTTCTTCGTCTACCTCCTGGAAATCCCCGAGGATGACATGCAAACCGTCTCGTGGCAGGATGTTGTGGCCAAGATCACCGCCCTTCGCGACGAGAATGTGAAGACAGCTACCAATATAACACCATCGCAACGCCGTTTCTTGTCTAAGCAGCTGGGACATCACATAGCAAGCCAATCAAAAGAAAGACTCGATGCCCACGATATTGCAAACAGGTTAATGAGACGAGAGAACTATATCATTGCTCTCTTCAACAAGGACGTATTAGATCTCACGGCCCCGGTTCCATTTCTACGAAATCGGCAACTATTCTCGAAATCTCTAGAGTGGACGGTTCAGTTCGGCGTTTTAGACTTAGTCTTCAACGAGGGTGGCCAGGTCCATCAACGAGTCCTCAAATCCGATCATCGTGGACACCTCAGCAGGGAAATGCAAACGAGATTTGCATTTGCAGCAGTGATGAACCTCATATTCGCCCCGTTTGTAGCATCTGCCCTCCTTGTTGACTTCATCTTCACGTACTACAATGTGAGTATCGTTCGATCGGACGCATGAATTGCATTATGCTTACCTACCTATTCACTAGGAATTCAAAACCAATACCTCATCTCTAGGGGCAAGACAGTACACGCCGCTTGCCAGGTGGAAGTTCCGCGAGTTCAACGAGCTCCCACACCTGTTCGAGGAACGCTTGAATATGTCGTATCCTTTCGCGAAACACTACATAGACCAGTTTCCAAAAAAGAAGACAGAGTCAGCCGCCCGAACGGTTCAGTTCTTTTCTGGCGCACTTATTGCTGTTTTGGCCATCGTGGGATTCTCCGACCCCGAGATGTTTGTCGAATTTGAACTGTTCCCGGGGATGAATACATTCGCTTTCGTTGCACTTCTAACAACAACATGGGCCGTCGCTCGTGGAATGATATCCGAAGAGAACGACGTGTTCGATCCCGAATTTGCGATGCAGAGCGTCATCGAATACACGCATTACCAACCAGATCAGTGGAAAGGTAGACTCCATAGCTACGAGGTCAAGGCCGAGTTTTCCGAACTTTACAAGTCGAGAATCATCATCTTCCTGGAGGAAATCACCAGTGTCTTGGTCACGCCCCTGGTGCTCTTCTTCAGCTTGCCAAAGTGCAGCGATCAGATCATCGATTTCTTCCGCGAATTTACAATCCACGTCGACGGGCTAGGCTACGTGTGCTCGTTTGCCGTGTTCGACTTCCAGAAAGACCAGCGCACGACAAAGCAGCAGCCCGGTAATATGAATGATGCCAGGGAGGATTATTACGCTACCAAACACGGGAAGATGCAGGCTTCCGTCCACGGCTTCCTGGATAACTACGTCTACCACCCTAGAACTGGTCTTCCCGGAAATCACGCCATGGGCCCAGTCGGACGTCACCAATTCCACCCCCCGCCCGCTTTCCCAGGCCTCATGTCGCCTACCCTCGCCGCAGACATGTACTCCTCGCGCATCGGACCCAGCGAGCGACCTAGAAGCCGAGCACCAATCCCAAGCAGAACACCACGCTTCGGCCCCGCCGTCGCGCCCTCGCCAATGGCCTCCATGCTCCTCGATCCGCACCACCAACCCTCCGCCTCATTCATCGCGACCCGGACTACCCCACAGCGTACGCGCCAGCAGCGTGGCATGCCCTCGGGTGACACGAATATCATCGAGGAATCGACGGAAGATGGGCCCTCGCGAAGCGTTATCCGTCGGCACGATACGGCGTATACGGACGACGGCGATGTTGAAGAAAGCGTGGCGCGATTGGGAGAGTCTACGTGGGAGGGCTCGCCTAGGCACGGTATGAGCCGCGAGGGGAGTAATGCTACCGATGGCGACGATGGCCCGGGCGTCGTGACGATGCTGAAGCAGTTCCAGCAGGCGCATTTGGATCGGCGGGGCGTTATGTAATGGACGGGCAAACCAGGTTAGGGGTTTGGGTTTAGAAGGGTGGTTCTGCTGGCTTGCTTGCTTGCTTGCTTGCCTACTTAACATACTTAACATACATACCCTGTCTGTATAAGAGAGCTGGTTAGCAAGGGTTAACTAATATAACATAACATTACACAACGAGCTACGAGGGAACGGACATGGAGTTCAGGCGGTGTTTTTGTTTTTTTTTGTTTTTGTTTTTATCTTTGGTTAGGGCATCGGCATCGGCATTGGCATAGGTACAGAAAGTATCAGTATCAGTGCTAGTGCTAATATCAGACTACGGAATAGATGATCACATTACTGTTAACTAAGCTTAAATCACTTTTGGGTTAACTTTGATACTGCTTGGAGTAAATAGATGTCAAGTAAGTAAGTTGAGTTTAGGTCTATAAAAAACATACATTTCAGTTTGATCTTCTCTTCTCTTCTACTTCGTGTAAAGAGTCGCGACGACATGTCATAATATATCCTAGGTAAATAAGCTATGTATAGGTACACACGGCCAGGGAAATATCCATCTACAAGTCAACCCACATTATCGATGCTTCAAAACGGAATCATAGTTAAGTTCTACGGTATGTGTGTATATTTGAGGCATCACCTACATCAGATCGTGCTTTACGAGTAGACGTGAGCTTTCTCGGTGTACGTGGGCAGTTACTACTTCTCTAGGTTACTGCTATCCGTGGAAGTATCTCTATAGCCTTCGTTGAAACGCTACTTATTACTTATGACATACATATACGATGCAATCGGAACTGTCATGCTGGCCATGGCGGAAGGCTTTCTTCTACATGTCGTGTTCATTTGCCTATATGAAGTTGCGTAGACGACGATAGACTCTATCCTATGCCACTAGCACTCCTGACTCAACATTAGACCAGTCTCTGTCTGTTACTATGCACCGTAGCCGCCATACGACATACAACGACGTACGACATGCAACGACACACACATACACATATATACACATACACCAAGCCGCCCGAAATTTCGCGTTCGTGTTCATTGCCTACACTACACCCTACTACACATTAATTACCACAATCAATCCTACGACTTTCTCACTCTCACTCTCGCAATGACCTCGGTACCGAGCTTAACCACTGCCCTTATAGTTAAAGCCTCCAGGCCAGGATAGTAGATAAAGCCCGAACCAAGCCAGGCCAACAACAACCTCACTTAGCCCACGTCCAGAAAAATCCGAAATGCTATTCGCGAGGTACAATCTAATTTTATGCGTCTCAAGCTTTCTCGTTTCCATGTAGGTGTAGTGTTGTAAGGGGCGTCTCATTAATAAAAAAGCCACCCCCCAATCATCGCCGCCCTTTTTAATAACGCTAGAAGAAAAGGGGAAGAACCCAAAGAAAAAAAAAGAAGAAAATAACCCTTTTTCTGTGCCTCGCCGAACAGCATGGAGCGTTGACCGCTCGCCCTCGCGTCGCGTCATATCGATAGAGGACCGCAAAGTCAGTCATTCCCCTCCTTCGTAAATTACTAGTTATGGTAGGAGCTCGTCGCCGAAACAATGGTCTTAATCCGCGGCAATTCCTCGCCATGAGAACCTCGGATTTGTTGCCACTTCCAGTAGAGGGATACATGTTGAATAGAAATAGAAAGAGACAAAGCGAGTGCTAAACGGAAAACGAGAACGAAGTAAATAGTACAGATATGCAAAACGGACATGGCCCCCGCCCATTCCATCCCACCCAAATCTCCATAGAAGATCGATACACCCCATGTGATAGTTATCGTATGGAAACTATCGAGATACTAGCGATGTCGGACGACCTAGGGAAGCCCACGATCGGGGCAGAGCGAGAATAAACACCGGAAAGGTAGTGTTCTACATGATCTGATCTTGGGTCAGACCACCATGCGCATCCGTCTCCATGCTGTCTCCTCCACCTGGGGTTACGTATTTGATGAAGCTCAGGCCAAGAGGCCGTCCTCCGTAGTGGTAACCCTGAAACTTAGAAATGGCGGTCTCTGCAGTCGCGGTACTGTCGAAACGAACAACACCGGATCCTCTAGATCTTCCGCTGGGTTCATACTGAATCTCAGCTTGTTCGACCTTGCCGATCGTCGTGAAGAGCTCAACCAAATCTTCATTACTGGTAGACCAAGGAAGCTAATGCGAAGATTATGTCAGCAACAAATTAAGAGGTAAATAGGGAGATCATGCAACCATACATTTCGGACGTAAATTGTCTCACTTGGATCGGTTCCTGAGGTGGCGAAATCCGTAAACGCGTTTGGAGCGGCTGGTGTAGTGTTGGTGGCATCGAATCCACCAGCGGGCCCACCACCGCCGCCTCCACCGCCGTAACCTCCACGTCCTCCGTAGCCGCCACCGCCGCCGAAGCCACCACGACCACCGAAGCCCCCGCGACCACCATAAGAGCCGCCAAAGCCTCCTCGGCCACCGAAACCGCCTCGGCCGTATCCTCCCACTCCTTGGTGGGCAAAACGGTCCTCGCGAACTTCGAGTAGACGGCCTTGCCATTCAAAGCCGTTAAATTGCTGGATGGCGTTGCGCGTATCCTCGGGGTGCTCGAACATGACAATTCCGGAACCCTTCGGTCTGCCATCTGGACCTAGGTGGACATCGGCTCGGATCACCTGGCCATTTCGAGCTATCGTCACCTGATATCAGCAGCGGACTCGCGACATATACATATTGGTTAATTAAACGGGGAAACTGACCAGCTTGGCGGAACAAGTCTTTAAGATCTTGCCAGCCTACGGTGTAAGGAAGCTACATGTGAAGTTAATACGAAAAACAGCCACCTAAATTAGTAACGGGAGAGAAAGGAGCGGGAATAAACAAACGTTGGACACGTAGATCTGGCGGTTGCCACCACCCATGCCACCGCCGCCGCCGCCGCCGCCACCGGCACCACCACCACCACCACCGTAGGCACTACCGCCTCCACCGCCTCCAGCACCGCCGCCGGCACTGTAGCCGCCTTGCATTCCGCCGCCGTAGCCACCGCGGCCTCCGGTTGCGCCGATAAATCGTGGTTCCGCTTCTCGATCCTAACCCCGCCTTCAGTATCTACCATAACAACGAACTTCGGAGGGTGCCCTACTTCACGAACGTAGACGAGTCGTCCCATCAAATTCTGGTTGCTGAGAGTCTGGACAGCTGTTTGCGCTTGCTCCCTTGTAGCATATTCCACAATTCTAGACAGTATTAGTAACCTTGGATAATCCAATTCCGACGAGTGAATGTCTTGACTTACCCGCATCCCTACAAAAACCCGTGGACAATGTCCCAACCCGTCAATCCATCAATTCCAACAAGAGCCAGAGGAGAAGGAACCAAAGAGAAAACCAGCCATGAATCACGTGTAGAAGCCCACCTTAGACATCCCATTCGGAAGCAATAAAACATCGGCAAAGAGAACTTCTCCAGCTATAAGACAAACCGCCGTTAGCCATGAAATCACTCTTTCAGGATTAGTACTCTGATAAGTGATGACTTACCCTGCCGCATAAAATCCTTGAGATGGTGCCATTTTACATCGTAGGACAGGTTGCCGACGTAAACACGTCGGTCCTGCTGCGACGTCTCGCGAATGTTATTCATCATCTGTTCTCGTGCTGCCGCACGCTCCTCGTACGACCGTTGAGGTGGTCCACCGTAACCCGAACCTGATCCTCCAACTGGCGCCCCAGCTCCAGTCATGGGAGATCGCGATCGTCTATCCGATCTACGATAATCGTCCCGGCTTCGAGACCGGCTCCGTGGCGAATATGATCGGCGGCGACCTGGGCGGCCCGGGCTCCTCGAACGGCCACGTCGGGGAGAGCGAGATCTCTCGCGCTGCGACTCGTCAGCATCTAGGTGGGGTATGAATGACATTAGAAGCAGAAATCAGCACGCCGTTAAGCCAGCGAGCTTCGACGGAATCAATTGTTGGGGCCTGGATTCTCTCTGGGCGGATTTGCTAAGCTGTGGTAAGAAAATCCCTCGATTCGGTGGAGGATACAACGTTCAAAAACTTGCACGCGGTTCCTCGGGGAGGGAGCAAACTTTATATGCTAGAGTCGACTCGATTTGTCTTGGTACCCCTTCTAGCTCAAAAGCAAAAGATAGCGTGGAGAAAGGCTGTCAGGCACAACTATTTCCCCCTTGCACGGGCGAATTATTCATTTAAAGTTTTGCCGTCATTCAAAGCAACCGACCCGCCAAAGAAGGTGATAAACAAATAATTCTGGGACTTGGCTGGGATCCAGATTCCAACCGATCAAACTCAGAAAATTGACTGCTGATTTTGCTTACCTTCACAGGGCGATATGTATCTCCGGAATCAGCTATTCAAAAGGTCGCGAGTTAGAAGCCAAATCCCAAAGAGCGAATATGAAAAGAAGCAATTGTTATGAACAATAGGTTAAATTGGAAAGTTTCAACTGTAGCGATCTGACGTGCCGTGGTCGCATACGGAAGTGTTCGAAGGCCAGACCATTAGTGGATCGGGAAGGGAAAGCGTCCAGGGACGGGGGTGGGGAGGGAACGCGGCGTATTAAAGGCCTCGGGATGGGTTGCGGCTTGTATGAAACGGCACAGAGGGTAGGTAGGCTGGCAGTGATGATAGAGAAACCTGTGGAGTGAACCGAGCAAAGGGTGCCAGGGAAGAGTGTGATTGGGTGGTGGGGGGTTTGGGAGAAGGTAGGAATATGGGAGCGGGTAATGCTGTGGGCTGTTACAAGCCAGACGTGAAGGTAGAGGTAGTAACACGTCGCAGAGGCATTTGTTTTATGCCTCTAGGCAAGATTTTGGGGTAAGGAATACCGTTAACGGGTAGCCAGGGCAGGATCTGATTCGGCAACCGGGGGAGTATGCGAGTGCAGGAGGTAGTATGTATGTATGTACGTACGTACGCCTGTACAAAGTTGGATAGGTAGTGTGGGATGTGGATATGATGGATAGGGATAATGGGCTATGAAAGAGAAGGAGAGGGAAAGGAAGAACGAGAAGGACTCGGAAGACGCGCGAGACCCGGTGAGTAGAAAAACAATCCACAACGTTGTATAGACGTTTGTGTAGCTCGAAGATATCAAGATGGTGGTGTGGACTTACCCATAGTTAAATATGTTCAGAAAGCACTTTGTCGAGCTTGGCCGCCTTGTCTGAGAAGATTTTTTTTCTCCGACGACAGTAGTGTACCAACGAGAACGCCGGGAAGAGAGGTATATCTGTATTGGAGGGGTGAGCCTTCGAAGTGACAAGGAGTGTGTCGAATCTCTCGGGGGGGATTATTAGACAGCAACAGGTTGGGACCCCTCGCTAGCTGGAGGGAATAAAAAGGGGGGGAACTAAGGCCTGAGAGAATAAAAAGGACAAGAGTGTAGGAGGTACAAGAGTGCTTGTATCGGGTGTGATTCAGCGCA